GCCTCCGTGAAGTATGGGGGGCAACGTGTATGGCTCCAACGCTGCCACCTTGAGAGAGAAAAGAGCAATGCAGGCTCACGTCAAGGGCAATAGGCTTGCGGGTAACAAGCATCCCTCTTTTGCACATGTTGTCGGATAAGCCTCTCTGTGATCCAATTACTTTCGCCACCGCGGTGTGACATGAGCTGCTGCCGGTGCAAGTGTTGGCGCAAGGCCTCCAAGAGGCAACGTGGCTTTTCGAGCTTCTGAGAAATATATCCCTTTGCCAGCATGCGTGGGCCTCTCACGGTTTGCGCCGCCACCGCCAAACGGTTGGATGCTCACATTGCAGGTTTTTCTTGGAGCCATCCCCAGCGAATGTCTCTGAGCAATGTCCGCACACTATGCGCTACGCGTCATTCAGGTGATCGAGGGGTGGCTGTGGAGCAAGGCTGCCGAACATGAGGCTGTGCGTGAATTTAGCTAGTGGGTGCAGCCTTGGCCCACTCCTCGCTCTCGTTCGAGGCGCGCAGCTCTCTCCTCGGGAGAAAGGGGCTGCATCGGATCGGCAGCAGCAGCATGACAGCGGCCGCCGCATCGGCAGCGGGAGAGCGGCCTGGCAGCAGACCCTCTCTGTTGGGTTTGCCAGGACGCCCCTGGCACGCTTCTGCACAGGCACGGTGCGTGCGGTATCCATGAGGAGGTTTTGCCACATGAGTCGCCTCCGCCGTCTGTGGAAGGCCTCACCAGGGTCACCAAGGACACCCTTCCTCGTCTCCTCGCCGAGGGGCTGCTGGTGCCGAGTGCTTCGCCTCCCCTCTCTTTCGAGGCCCCCTCGAGGCGGTTCGCTGGAGGGCCCATGGCGACGGGAGGCCACGCGCTTCTGGATGGGCCCTGGAAGGACAAGAGGCCCCTCTGGGCCCTCGCAGGCGCTCGCGTGGGCCCTAGTCGCCGTCGACCCCGATAGAGGAGGAGGAGGAAGAGGAGGAGGATGAGGAGGAGGAGGAGAGGAAGGAAAGAGGAGGAGGAGGAGGAGAAAGAGGAGGAGGAGGAGGAGGAGGAGAAGGAGGAGGCAGCTCTCGGTTTTCTGTGGAACGCTCCTGATGACTGGTGCTGACCCCGCCGCTGCCGAACTGATTGGCGCTGATTGCCAGGCTCAGACTTCTGCGCGTACCGCCAGCTCGTGTACGAAGGGCTCATGTTCGAGAGAGGCCGCAGGTCTTGCGCAGGCAGTCGCAGCGCGGGGGCTGAGAGCTGGATCCAAGTCTGGCGCCAGGTCGACGAGCGAGGCAGTCTCGAGCAGGTGCGCGCTGTCAAAGTCAAGGCGCACCGCGCGCGTGCTGCGGTGCAGAGGGGTGACATGTCCGAGCTCCTGCCCGCAGGCGAGGCCGTGGCCGACACTTGGGCCCCAATGGCAAGGCGAGAGGTCGAGTCCCCGAGGCCATCCGTGCTGCCTTTAAGGCGAAGACCAAGGTCGCGTCTGTGGGCGGCGTGGACTGCCAGAATAGGCACGGCCATAGCTGACATTGACGTGTTCCAAATCTCTGAGCTCGGCGGCGACGATAGGGGCGAATAGCCCAGGGGCGGGCATTATACGCATTCGCCTGGGAGCCTGCTCGAAGACATAGATCATCGGCGCACCTGAATACATGTATTGCTCTCCCCTGAGTTATTCGCCCCTGTCGTCGCCTCTGACAAGCAGGAGCAGCGCAAGCAGGTGGCAACGAAGTATCACGCGTCGCCTGTCCGCTCTGGCCTGCTGGTCGCGGAACTCTTCCGTGTCTGAGCGCTTCCCCCCTCCTCCCCTCGCGCGGCCGCCCTCGTCTTCGTGAGTCTTCGCTCCTTCCTCTTGCACGCCCGACAACTCGCCAGTCGGGTGCCCCGAGGAGCCCCACGCTGGTGCGGACTGCCTCTGCCTCGCCGCCGACGACAGAAATCCCGCCCTTGCCTCTTGCTGTGCTGCTGCCGCCGCCGCTGGGCGTGCCTCCCATCCTCTCGGGAGCCGACTCGGCCGTCGCCGGAGCCTCTCTCGGCGGAGGGCAGCAGCACACCGTCCACCCGTTCCGAGTGGGGAGTGGAGCGCGGGCGGACTTGGTGTGCGGTGTGTTGTGTGCAGGATGTGGCATCAAGAAAAGCCTAACAGCAGGCCTGACTCGGGCTGCTTTCCTTTCGGCATGTTCTGAAGGCGATGGCACCTAGAATCCATCACCGGAGTGCCAGCACGACGCTTGAACGGGGAGGGCGGAGCCTGGAATAAGGAGGAAGAGGAGGAGAAGGAGAGAGAGAAGGAAGAGGATATGCACAGATGAGAAAACGGTATAAGCATAAACTTTTCCGCGCGGATTTCTAGGATCCGCGCTGGATCCCCCTCGCTGGCGCGCGGAGCGCGCCAAGGGCGGCGCCGGAGGCGCCCCCGGGGGAGCCCAAGCGCCGATCCAAGAAATCCGCGCGGAGCGCCAAATGTTTTATGTTGATGCCTTTTTCTTCGAAGCAAGGAGGAGCAGGATATCCTGGCTTCTGCAGGTGCGTTGTGTGTGCGGGATGGGGGGACGCAGGTCACTGCAAGCATGTCTTCTGCCTGCCGCGGGCAGCCCCCCCCCAAAGGATCCTGGGGGGCGCGGGTGCCCTCGAGCCTTGGCAAGAGCCCGTCCCGAGTCCAGATTGGCAAAGTCTGGCATCCCCTCATCCAGATCGGTGGCGAGCGAGGGGGGAAATTGAGAAGGAGAAGGCCTCTCAGAAGGCGACGGGACTTCTCAGAAGCCATCGTGCCTTCTGAGAAGTTTTCTGCGTCTGCGGGAAAGGCTTAGAAAACTGATCCGAAGGCCGGAGGACTTCCGAGCCTTCTGAGAAGGCCCGCCCCTTCTCACTTCCCCTCCTCGCTCGCTGCCGACCAGAGTTTCCGACCAGCGGACCTGGTGCGAGCGGGGGAAGCAGGTCAACTCGTCTGGCGTTGTTCTCTCGGGCCGAGGCCTGGCTGTGCTGTCTGCAGAGGTGGCACAAGCGGTGCCGATCACAAGACACGCGCCGCCCTCTCCGGGCGGTCGAGGCGTGGACGCTGCGTTCCGCCTTAATGCTGTATCGAAGAGGAGGAGGAGGAGGAGGAGGAGGAGGAGAAAAAGGAGGAGGAGGAGGAGGAGGACACGGGTGAGCGGCAAGGTGAGGGTGTCGAGAGGAGGGCGTCGAGAGGAGAGGAAGGTGTCGAGAGGAGAATCAGGAGGTGGAGGGGCAGGTGGACCACTCCAGGCCTTCTCCTTCACCGCGCTGGGGCAGACGGCAGGCTAATCCCTGACCCTCTGCGCCTAACCTCGGCACTCGCACAACCGGAAGGGCGCGCGCCAGGAAGGGGGACCTAGCGCCGATGAGCTCTGAACAGTGCTGTTTGTGCAGCTTGTATTCCTTCGAATAGTGGTTCGGAGACGTCCCAGAACTTCCAGGAAAATGTACGTCTGGCGCGGAGCTGGAAACGGAGGTCGCGGGCCGGGATTCCGCAGGCAGCTGCGCCGAAAGCCGCGCCCCGCGGCGGCCCGCTCGCGAGGACCTCCGAAGACCGAGGCGGCAAGCACGAGCAGCAGCAGGAGGGAGGACAAGGCCGTACACGGCGACGGCAAAAATCAGGTGCGTCCAAGAAGGCGGCGACCAAAAGGGGGGGGTCGCAACTGATGGCCCGAGGCACGTGCGCGACCCAGGAGGGGGACAGGGGAAATGCTGACAGAACAAGAGGGGCCAGACCTGATACCTGAGGAGATATCATGCGAAAGGGACCGGAGCACGTGACGGCCCCCTGGATCCCTCCCCCAAAAAATACCCCGGGCGGACCCTGCGCGGTGGCCCTCACGGAGGTCGGAATTCCCGGGGGGCGGTCTTCAGCGCCCCTAAAGAGCGCCCCCAGCCAGAGCGCTCCGAGGGACCCCAAGGGAGCCCGAAGAGGTCACTCGAGTCGGATCCATGGGCGGCAGGTTCCACGAGGGCCTCCACACACCCCCAGAAGGGTTCAAGATAGCTCTCAAATGGTCGAATACAGCTCCAAGAGGCCTCCCAAAGTCCAGAACTTATACTTTCGTTGGGATTTGGTTTCACGTGTGTTCGCGTTACCGCTTGTCCGTCCTCTGACTATCAAAGACGGCCCACGCAGCCCCCTCAGATTGACGCAATTACGCCCCCAGGACAGCCACCAAACGCCTCAGGAGGGCCCGAAGACGGCAAAAGAGGCCTCCCAAGAAGCTTCCAAACCCCAAAAAAAGTCCGAAGAGGGGGAACCCGAACGGAAAGTTCGAACCTTTTCCCGACAGCTGGCCCTCCAAACCGTCAAGAGGCCCCCGAGAGGCCCCCCAGGCACCCCCAAGAGGCCTCACGAGGCCCTGAAGAGGCCCCACGAGGTTCCAAAAATGCCTCCGCGAGCACGCAGGCAAGTGCCAACGATGTCACAATGACCCCCACAAGAAGCTCCCATGACGGCCCAAGAGAGCCTTACGGAGAGTCCAGAGTCCAAGAGGGGACCACGAGGGAAGACACGAACAGCCATTCGAGCCCTCTGCCCCGAGACGCCCATGACTGCTCACGCAACCCTTCAATAGAACTACCACCTCCCATCAGCACCGCAGTGGCAACGAACTTGCAGGTAAACGCGCGCCATTGGATAGTCTGGGCTGGCGGACTCCGCGAAGCGATTCAATCAGAGAAGGGGCCATGCAATACAGGCAGATGTCATGCGACGGGAACGGGGGGGCCCTGAAAACTCCAGTATGTCGTCGCCGCGTTCGTCGCCGCCCCGTCGCTGCCGTCGTCGCCCCCGTTTTCGTCGTCGCCGCCGTTACCATCGCCATCGTTTTTCGTCGTCCGTCGTGGTCGTCGTCGTCGTCGTCGCCGCCGCCGCCGTCGTCTTCGTCGTCGCAATCGTCGTCGTAATCGTCGTCGTAACCGTCGTCGTCACCATCGTCGTAACCGTCGTCGTCGTATTCGTCGCGGTCGTCGTCGACGCCGCACGACGACCGTGCCGCCGTCTGCGCCGCCCCGCAGGGCACCCTTGACTCCGCCGTGCAGGGGTCGCGGTAGACAATGTTGTCCGAGACGGCCCACTGCATCTCGACGTGCATCGACTCCGCCGCCGCGGGGCGCTCCGCAACCGGTGGCCCCAGTCACTGCATCGACTCCGCCGTCGCCGTCGTCGCTTGCCTCCTCCATTTCACCCTCTCCATCCTCCAGCTCACTCTTCCTCCTCATCCTCCTCCGCTTCCTCATGTTTCTCCTCCTCCTCCTCCTCCTCCTCCTCCTCTTCCTCCTCCTCCAACCACCTCCTCCTTCTCCCCCTCCTCCTCCTCCTCCTCCTCCAACCTCCTCCTCCTACCTCCTCCTCCTACCTCCTCCTCCTACCTCCTCCCCTCCTCCTCCTCCTCCTCCTCCTCCTCCTCCTCCTCCCTCCTCCTCCTCCTCCTCCTCCTCCTCCTCCTCCTCCTCCTCCTCCTCCTCCTCCTATTCCTCCTCTCCTCCTCCTCCTCCTCATCCTCCTCCCCCTCCTCCTCCTCCCTCCTCCTCCTCCTCCTCCTCCTCCTCCTCCTCCTGATTGCGGATTGCTGATGGCAAGAGAGAGATCGACCATCGCTGCCAACGCTCACCGTCTGGCGTGCGAGGGAAGGCATCATGGAAAACAGAACGCAGGGCCGCTGGTGGGGCCGGAGAGCGGGACGAGAATTAGACGACACGGACGGGGACCGAAAAATACGGCGAGCCGCGGGACCGAGCGAGCGAGGAAGGGACAGATGGACGCGACGGAGGGCCGCGGTCTTCGAGGCGCGGGCCGCGGGCGTCGTTCCTCCTCCCACCCACCCCCCTCACCCCGCCTCTCCACCCACTGGGGGCGCTGCTGGAGCAGGCCGCGGCGGGCCCAGCTGGACCCCTGCGAGGGCGGCTGGCCCCCATCCCCCTTTTATGGGCGGGCGGCGCGCTCACTCCCAAGAGAGCGACGACGATGGGGAAGTCGCGCCCGGGGGTGCCCGTGCCCGTGGAGCACGTGGTGGTCGACGCGCGGTTGGTCAGAGGCGCTTTGGTGGTCGAAGGCGCAAATGCCAACGGGCAGGCTCCGTGAGGCAAGCCGTCGATGCGAGCCGTAGCCTGTCTGGCCTTTCCGTCGCGGCTGTATTCCACGACGCCTGTATTTCTCGAGGGTCGGACCGCCTGGAACTTGCCAAAGAGACCGAAGGTGGACTGGACACCAGACATGTCGATGTTGGCGTTGGGCTCCGGGGCCCCGGTTCGGATGACTCCTCGGCATTATTGCCCATGGTTGCGTGACCTTCTGCGGCTGCGTGGCCCTGTCAGCGAGCTGGATGAAGGAGGGTGGATGCCCTGGTAGTAGTTGGCTTGGCGTCGGCGACGATCTCCTTCGCGGCGACGCCGT